TCAGGGAACAGTGGAAGTGAAGAGAGCCATTTAGTACCGAATGACGCCCACGGCGACCGCTTACTGTTGCAAACGCCAAATGAATATCGATTTTTCAGCATGTTTGAAATGCTCCTTGTGTTTTACACATTTGCTCAAGTCTGAAGACGACCTGGGGAACGAGCGTTGAAAATATACTTAGTAAAGTGTTCTACTTTTGATAAGAATAAGCGCGATCGCTGGAACAAGGGCTTTATTCGCCTGACGTTTCGGATTCTCACTTGACTTCATCATCAGAGACAGTTGCAGAAAAGGTTGACTCGTGCACAGGAAGTTGCAGTATTTATAGGATGCGGTCGCTACGCTACCGCCTACCTACAGCAATTAACCGTGCTCCCCTTCATCAAGGATTGCTGCCTGCTGGTGCGCTAATTGCTTGATGGCCGTCATGCAAGTTGTTAATTTCTGAAATCTCATCGCCCGTGTTGGATGCTGGCGTGATGATTGCTCGGCCATCTGGCTCACCGGCTTGTGCGCTCCCCGAGTAATCAATTGCTTTGGCCAGTCTATGCTTCAGCACGGAATATGGAGTGGGGATGTCGTTGTACTTGTTGATAGACTGAGGGCCCGTGAACCATGACTCAAGCAACTCGCGGCTCACGCGATTATCCCCTCTCGCGAGAATTTCGGCCTCATCGAACTTGAATGTGTGGCTTGGTCTCGTCGAATGGGCCGCGACCAGAGAGTTGGCGTCATTTCTCCATACGGCTGCCACGTGTTCGGCGATTCGCGTCCGGAGCAGTCTTCCGGTTTCTCCGAGGCGGTCCTGCTGCGGTTAGAGTGGCTGGTCTTCCAACATCACAGACCGAAATTCTGGGCTCGGTATGTGGACGATACCTTCGTCTTCATCTAACGGGATCAGGTGCTAGCGTTCCAAGAACGTCTCAACAGCGTCTTCCCGGACATGCAATTTACAATGGAGGAGGAAGATATTATCCAGCTGGCATTCCTTGATGTCTTGGTGTGTCGCAGAGGTTATGGTGACATAAGTCCAAAGTGTTCAGAAAAGCGACGAACACGACGCAAATACTGACCTTCAACAGCAACCATTCGATCAGCTACAAACGCAACTGTGTAAGAATGCTATATCGGCGTGTTGAGACGCACAGCAGACAACTGGAAGACAAGGTTGCTGAATCCCAATATCTTCGACGGGTTTTCAGAGAAAATGGTTACCCGCGCAACTTCGTCAACCGTTGTCTGTGCAAACGAGACGAGCGAAAAAATCGTGCCGACCTTAAATTCTGGCGAGCGATTCCGTACATTCATATTGACCCAACTGTGAAAAACTCGGCGCCTCGGTGGGATTCGAACCCACGCAGTAAGGGGAAGGCTTCAGTACAGCCAACGCTCTAACCACTTGAGCTACCACTTGAACTACCAGTTGTAGAACTGGTGGTGACTGTAGCAGCAGTAGTAGTAGTAGTAGTAGTAGTAGTAGTAGTAGTACTAGTGGTGGTATGAGTAGTATAAGTAGTCAAATTACTAGTGGTTTTGGTGGTAGTTGTGGAAGTAGAAGTAGTTACGGGTCATATTAGGAAAATCAGCAGTAGCATTAATCGCTGGTGATGTAATAGTGGTGGAAGTAGGAGAGTAGTGACAGTGATAAGAGTAGTAGAATCATTCGCGGTAGTGGAAGTAATATAAGCAGTAGAAGAAGTGGTAGTAAAATTTGAGTGGTAGTAGTACCAGTAGTGGTAGAGTTAGTAGTGGTAATAGTGATGCTGGTGGTAGTAGTAGTAGTGGTGGTGGTAGTAGTAGTGGTGGTCGTAGAAGTAGTAGTAGTAGTAGTAGTAGTAGTAGTAGTAAGTCAGTTTATTAAGGGCATGGGGCTTTCGCCCCTGAACTCCCTATTCATATCAATAAACATTAGTAGAATCAATAATTACATTAGTAAATGCTTAAATTCAGAATTTGGCGGTAGGCTTGCATAAGGTGCAAACTTGCGCCGCTAAAACAAGCGGGGTTATATGTACCGTACTTTCTCAGCAAATGAGCATCTAGTCTACACTTAAAGGATTCGACAAATTCGGAAAGAACCATCGTGTCAGGGAGTCTGTTCCATGCCCCAATGACCCTGTGAGAGAAGGCGTTCGGTCGGACGTCCGAATGAGCCGGCTTCCTCTGCAGTTGAAGGGATGACCACGCAGACGGTCCATGCCGGCCAATTCGAAGAATTCATCAAAGTCCAGGGCGCACTCACAGCTTCGGACAATCCTGTACGTCTGAACGAGATCTCCGCGCAGTTGCCTGTAATTGAGAGGAAACAGATTTTGTTCGGTCAGCCTTGTTTCGTAAGACAGCTGATGAAGATTCTTGACCATCTTCGTAACTATCGCCTATACTCTTTCCAGTCGTTGACAATCATTCTTCAGCCAAGGTCGCCAGGCCTGGACTGCATACTCTGAATGAGACCGGACGAATTTCCCATAGGTTTTTTCCCAATAGCTCTCTATCGATCTGCAAAAATCCTCGCCTCAGCGCAAATAACACCCTAATAGCACTTTTGGCTGCCTTTTAACACTGTGATGATGGTTTCAGCCAGGAGGTCATCAGGACGCCGAGGTCTTTCTGTTCCAAAACATTTGAAAGGGATTGCATAACCAGGACGTATTGAAAGGAATCGTCTTCCTTACTGGTCTTTCTGGTGCCGAGTGTCAGGACCACACATTTGTCCACATAAAAATTGAGGAGCCAACGAGCTGACCAACTGTTCAGGCGGTTGAGACTGTCTTGAAGCGCGTACCTTTCTGCGTCAGATCTGATGGCTCTCCACAGCTTAAGATCGTCAACAAACATGATGACGTTGCATTCCATGTCGTCGACGCAGTAGTTCATGTAAACCAGGAATAGCAACAGCCCTAAGACGGAGCCTTGTGGTACTCCACTAAGAAGGGGGGTAGGAGTTGACCTCGAGGCCTCAACGCACACGGTTCGCGATCTCCCTGTAAGAAAATCTGTTATCCATGTCCGCAGCCTTCCTCTCATCCTTATTACTGAAAGTTTGCAGATTAAGTGCTTGTGTGGGACGCAGTGGAACGCCTTCTTGAAGTCCCTGTAGATGACATCGACCCTAGCATCCTCATCCAGTGCTCGAGTCCACTGCTCCGTCGAGAGCAATAAACTGGAAAGGCACGAGCGGTTTTGTCTGAAGCCGTGCTGCGGGTCTGAGAGTAAGTGGTTCTGCTCCAGGAACTTCATTGTTGCCTTCTTGCCTATGGCCTCCATTATTTTACAGCAGATGCAGGTGAGACTAACAGGCCGGTAATTGATAGCATTAGTGCCAACCCCGCCCTTGTATATCGGAAAGATATTTGCTGTCTTCCATTCCGATGGCAGTCTCCCTAATTCGAATGACGAGCGGGAGACGTGTGCCAGTGGTTTGGAGAGTTCGTTCGTTAATTCTTTCAATAATTTGGCCGGCATCTTGTCTGGACCCGAGGACTTTGCTTCTTTCGAATTTAGCGGCTTCCTTTCCACGGCAGCTGTCGGGAAGAGTATGGAGTCAAGTACGTTACCAGCGGTCTCAACAGCACTGCGACTACAAAACTCTGTTTTCCTAGTAAAAACCGAGGCAAAATACCGTCCTTAGCGTTCGGCTTTCCAGCTGTTCTCAATCATCATCCTTCAGTACTGCGACCGAGTCCTTGTTTTTCAGTCTGCTGTTGAGATAGTGAGATAAATTCCTGGGCTTCTGTTCAGCCAATCGGATAATTTTGGATTCATACGCCTTCCGTGCCTGACAAATACATTTTTTGTCTGCATTTCGTTGACGACGAAATTCTTCGAAATGCGCTGGTGACGCAGTTTCCCTGAATATTTTCCATCTTTTGCTTTTCTTCCGTAACTGCCTATTTAGGGGTAATCAGTGGACGTCACCGCTTACGACGCTAAAACTGCCGGATCCTTTTCTGCGATAGCAACTCTTCAACCCGCGCGGTTTGAATTTTGAGTTGCAAGACGGAAGTTTTTAAATCGAGTCTCTTCGCTGAAAACGACTGTCCTTCACCAAAACGTGGATTATAAAACGCCTTTCTGACAACGATCCTCCAGCTATCGCCATCGATACTCCTATCGTTCGATCAGAACAAACTTCAGCAAAAACGGTCTATCTGTCGGAAATCTCGGCTTGTCTACAGGGCCTACCCATCCAATACACCGTCTCAAATTGCTCACAGAAGTTAGGAGCAACATCTACGATAAGGCTGAGTCGATATTTCTACACTGCTTGCTGTGCTGCTTAAATTCGGACAACTCGAGTTGTCTCACTTTACCATAGATTTACCTGAAAAAAGCGTTCCCTGGAAATTTTCGGCGTATCCAGCATAAGCATAGGCACTGTCCACAGTTGCGCCTTAAGAAATAGCTTGTTATTCCTGCAGATTTGTCCGTTTTGCATAAGTCCACTACATAATGACGATTTGCGCGGCCACACAAAATGCCATACTGCATGACGGAGTCGAACCATCGACCATCGACATCTCAGTCGCGCACGCTAACCCCTCGGCCACCGCGGCACGACGGCGGCGATGTCGCAAAGTTTACTTGATAGTAAATGCGTGCCGCATACCGATCGATTTTGCAGTGGATGCGAGATATTGGCCGGCAAAATCAACCGTCTTGAGGAAGAGATGGAAAAGATGAAAACCCTTCTACAATGTAAACTAGACACACTTGACGATGCGAATGTACCTGTTGGACGAATAACTAGAAGTAGGGCCAAAGGACGTCGCACAAAAAATACGCCATCAACACCTTCTGCAGCTGTCACGGCACACCCAGCACAAACACATAAAATACAAGACGACAACAACCAGCGAAGCAACGATAAAAAACCAGAGGAAAAAAAGAAATCGTGCAGCAAAAAGGTCGAAGGACATGAACAGCAGATTCCGAGTAATGCCTCCGAAGAACCGGAACCAGGGACGTCGGCGTCCGTGTCGCCCATCACGGGAAATGACATGGGTCCTAAAACCCTCAACCTATCGCAAAAAACTTCTGACTTTGATGAAAATGCCAACACAACAGAGACGAATGAGGATATTAATGGACTGCAGCTTATATCCTCGTCAGATCAGGGCAACCACATATTGCCTATGCCGGAGCACGAAACCACTGTGTTCTCGAGAGTGTCGCCGGTCAGAGGACAATGTCTGATTATTCAGGGACTTCCCGAATCCACAGCTGGTGCCTCCAAAGAGCGGGTCTCGGCAGACCTGAAACTCTTCCAATGCCTACTCAANAGCGGCACCATAATCAAACGCCCCAAAACTCTGAAACTAACATTTTTTTACACCAACGTGCAGAGTATATTGCCCAAGTTAGACGAACTGAAGATCCACATCTGTGACCTTTCCCCTGACATTGTCTCTTTGACAGAAACCTGGCTGTCTGAAAACGTGGATGACCGCGAATTAATGCTACCAGGATTTCAGCTGTTTCGAAGAGACAGGAGAGAGCGTCAGGGAGGAGGAGTCGTCACGTACGTAAAACACGGCCTGCTTGTGTCAGAAAAAACAGAACAGTTTGCCTGCAGCGCCGAGACTATCTGGCTCAATATAAGGGTACCAGGATCACATAGCCTTGAAGTTCTGACCGTCTATCGACCACCGAGGAGTGACCCCGAGGCTGACGCTCGTCTGTTAGAGGAGCTAGGACGATTTGCTCTCCGGCCTGACGTCCTAATCATGGGCGACTTCAATGCACCGCTCATTGATTGGAGTTCACTATACGCGCGCGGCCCAGAACTAGCTTTCGACCGACGCTTCTTGGACATGGCACTCAGGTCATTTCTCACACAGCACGTCCTATTTCCCACGAGGGTCCGTGAGGGGCAGCAGTCAAACTGCTTGGACCTGGTGCTCACGAAATCGATGGACAGCATAGATGAGGTACAATGTCTGCCTCCCTTAGGTCGAAGCGATCACGTTGTACTTCAATGGGACTATTCAATCTTTTCCGTGCCTGAACAGCCCACCAAAATTAGAAGAAATATTTGGCGTGGGGACTTCGATCAAATGAAGGCCGAAATCAACAATACGGACTGGGAATCAGCGTTTTCCGGAAATATAGAGGAGGATTGGAAATGGTTCAGTGAATTATTGCATGCTCTCCTGACAAACCACTGCCCGCTTTCACGGAAGGGGCTAAACAAACGACCCCGGTGGCTGACCCAGGCGTTAAAAAAGGAAATAAATAAAAAACGGAGATTGTGGCAGAAATCTCTTACTGATGGGACTCCTGTATCCATAAACGCATACAAAATACAGAGGAACTTAGTCAAGCGGCTGACCCTCAGGACACGGCAAAATTTTGAAAAAGACCTATTGAATCGTGCTATGGAAAATCCAAAATTATTCTACAGCTACATAAGAAGCAGCACACGAAACAGAGATCCAATCCCCCTCCTGAAGACTAGCGGAGACGTAGAGATTAGTGAGGATGGAGAAAAAGCTGAGCACTTTTCACAATTTTTCAAATCCATCTTTACTAGTGAAAGTCCATTTACTCCCCCCGACTACGACTTCGATGAGGGTCCAAAAATCGAGTCTGTGTCTTTTGATGAAGCGACGGTTCGCAAAGAGCTAATGACGCTAAATGAGTCGAAATCACCAGGTCCAGACGACATACCGCCTAAGTTACTGAAGGAGCTCGCTGCCGTACTAGCCAAACCATTGTCCATGCTTTTCCAAGCCTCGTTCGAAGCCGGCGGCTTGCCCGCCGACTGGAAATCTGCGCGGATCACACCACTGCATAAAGGAGGCAGCAAGGCCTCTGCAAACAATTACAGGCCAATTAGCCTCACTTCCATCTGCTGCAAACTCATGGAGAAAATAATCAAGCGAGAGCTGATGCGCTTCCTAGAGCAGCATAATTTATTATCTGATGCGCAGCATGGGTTTCGTAGTGGCAGGTCTTGCGTGACTAACCTGCTCAACTGTTTGGAACGTTGGACTCGGTCAGTTGATGAAGGCAGTGCGCTGCATGTAGTCTATATCGACTTTAAAAAGGCATTTGATAGTGTCCCACATCAGCGACTCCTGCACAAACTGAGCCGAACAGGCGTTAGGGGTAACCTCTTAAAATGGATTCAACGTTTCCTGTTAGATCGTTGTCAAACTGTCCATGTCGGTGGCCAGAAGTCGACGGAGGTTGCCGTTGAAAGCGGTGTTCCCCAAGGCTCAGTTCTTGGCCCTACTTTGTTCATCATTTACGTCAACGATTGCGTGAGTGAACTGGATTGTGGTGTCGCCATGTTTGCGGATGACATTAAGCTCTGGCGCGTCATTCGAACTGCAGATGACGAAGAGCATCTGCAGGCGAACCTAAATCGACTCCAACAGTGGTCAAAGGCCTGGCTTCTGCCGTTCAACGAGAAAAAGTGCAATATTCTACGAGTCGGCAGAGCTCGCTCTCCGAACCATATGGCCTACTGCCTAAATGGTATACCACTGCAAGAAGTGGACTCTCAGAAGGACTTGGGAGTATGGATTACGACCTCGCTCAAACCCTCGCTGCACTGCACGAAGATAGCCAAGTCTGCAATGTCAGTCCTCTACCTTGTCAAGCGGGCTTTCTCTGCCTTTGACGAAGACTGCTTCGCTAAAGTCTTTCGAACTTTTGTGCGTCCGCAACTAGAATTTGCTATCCAAGCTTGGAGACCCTGGACCGCGAAGGACCTCAGCATCCTTGAAAGGGTTCAAAGGCGTGCAACGAAACTTGTGGCAGGACAGGGTTCACTACCATATGCAACGCGGTTAGCTAACCTTCATCTCTTTCCCTTGAGTTACAGGCAGTTACGGGGTGACCTGATAAAAGTCTTCCGTATCATACGCGGTCAGGACTGCAGCCTCGTACCGGGTGACTTCTTCGAGTTAGCAACCACCACAAATCTACGAGGCCATCCATTCAAACTACGTGTGACAGGGGCCAGACTGGACACACGAAAGTTCTTCTTCTCCAGCAGAGTGGTAGAAGCCTGGAATGCCCTGCCTGTGGATGTCGTTATGTCTGCTTCCGTCGAGGTTTTTAAGAGGAAGCTGGATTTGTGTAGCAGTGTGCACTAAATTACCACCCCGATCTCTGTAACCTCGACAAATTCCGCTATTATAATACTACTTGCTATATTTCAGTAACATGTTAAATTGAACTTATTATTGTACCAGCCCATCGCCTACGCTTACTGACATGCACATATGCAAATTTTGTCCCCGGACATATTATTTATTTCGCTGCACTCGAAACGACAGCTCTACAACTGCTCGTACCACTAAAATTCGAGACAGTTTGTTTGTCTGTACAGACCTGACGCTTTTCCGATTATTTGTTACTTTATGATACCTTTTCGAGTTTTTGAGATTTTGCAGTTGCTTGTAAACAAATAGGGAGTTCAAAGGTGAAGACCTACATTTCCCTCAATAAACTGAACTGAACTGAACTGAACTAGTTAACCAAGCAGGCCGACTAGTTGTTTTTTGTAGTTTACATGGACGAAAGTACCGAATAAGATCGAGTGAAATCGTCTTAAACGATCTCCAGTCGTCCTCCGGATCTCCCCTGAGCAATTGGTTCCAATTCACGGAAATCAATGCGTTCTTCATCGTGTTAAAGTCTGCCTTCCATACATTAGGTTGGCCTTCTGTTCTCTTCTGGCGTTGAGATAAGAGCGAGTTATCTCATAGTAACTTAGTATGGTCACTTTTCCCGAGAGGTGCATTGGAATACACTTCCTCGATATTAGACAAGTCTTTATTTACAACTAGGAACAGGCGATTCGCTCTCTGGTTCTTTCGAAATCTTGTTGGTACGTTTACATATTACGCCAGATCGAGTGTGAGGTACATTAGCATATTGCTGCAGGACGTTGGCCAACATTTGACTACCATATTTTCCCATTCAATTGCAGATGCGTTGAAATCCCCAGCAGTAAAAACCCCTTGGTGACTAGCTACGTCCTTGACTTAATGAGGGTGGAACTCATCAGCTGCACTCGTAAGGTATGGTGGTCTGTAAATCGCCACGAATTCTAGGTTTTGTGCATTACTCTTCTTAATCTTTATGCAGACGGATTTCTATTCAAGCGGAAGGGTGGGGACGCGTTCAGTTGCCGAAATTTCTGCGCTTACAAATACGACTAACCCCACCGCCCTGTTTATTTTGTCGGTCTCTGCGAATGAGCTGGCAACCCGGTATCGAAATCTCGGCATCCGCGATTTCAGCATTAGGCCAAGTTTTCGTTATGGCGATGACGTCGGAGATTCGTTCTGAAACTAGCGCTTTGAGTTGGGCGATTTTTAAAACGAGACTTTGAGCATTAGTATACAAAAATTGAAATTTGTTACGAGCAACCCCGGCATACAGGCGTTTATCCATTTCATGGGATTGAATGCGAAAGCCGGTCGGAGCTGATCGGGTTGGACTGCTTTTCATCAACCCTAAACTGCTAGGGTTATGGGCTTTCTTCAGAGGAATGGACTCTAGACGCTTATAAATTTCCCGTCCAGTATTCTGAGATTTCTCTCGCCCAGACTTGACCGCCATGACTTTCAATTTTGGCTTCCTCCATTTTTCTCTCACCGCAGGGGAAAATTCCCGCTGAAAAAACTAATAGATGGGCATTTTGGAGCGCAGATTTCCCGCTCGACAGTAGCTGCGCTTGTTCGCCATTCTGGGAGACCATTTTTAACGGTCAATGCCGGTCTGGTTCATTTTCTGAGTCTTTTATTTGACCCATCCTGAAAGCCTTTAATACAGTGAATTTCTCGTCTCCCCTTAAGATCGATTTGAGATATTCCTGGAATATTTCTATGTCATGCTGTATTCTGTCCTTCGGAGTGTCGGGAACAGACTCAGACACGTCCTTTATGACAATACATTTACTGCGATCAACTAGAGGGCCTTGTGATTTAATCATACCTGCAGAGACTTCCTCAAGGATATCCCGACTACCAACAATCACCGATTTAGGAAGGTTTGGTTCGGTAGGACTAACGCATGACTGAATGTTTACTACGATTTGTTGGTCATTTGTCATTTTCAGCGCACGTTGTTCGTTTGAGGTGTAGTCGACTCTTGCTCACTTGTCTGACTCATTGTGACTTTTCGATCTGTCCTGAGACATTTTTTTGTTCGCTGAGGCTGCGTCTGGCCACCCTTTTCTCGCACACGACACTGCTTGTCATTCATATCGAGCTCGATTAGTAGCTCCTGTAGTAAAGGAAGTAGCAGCAGAAGTGGTCGTAGCAATAGCGGGAGCAGTATCAGTGGCAGTAGTACAGGTAGTAACAGTAGTATTGGTTATAGTGGTAGTGGTAGTAGTAGCAGTAGTGGCAGAAGTAGTAGTAGTAGTATGACGAGGAGGAGGATGACTGAAGATTCATTTATTTTTAGCAGTGGAAGACATGAGTTAAACAATTGTAACGTGTGACCATACCGGACTATATCATCAATGTAGTGGAAAGCACTTTAAGACTATACTGGATATGCGCAGTAGCCAGACCACAAACTGTAGCAGAACAGCTTAATGCAATATTTGTGAGGCACTTCGCGTCGGGAATTGACACCATTGCCTATTACTATCTATTATGCCAATATCCTGCGTTCACGCTTAAGATACGATTATGCGAGTCGGCACTATCTGCCTGAATAAGCCCCGCTGTTGCATGCACCAACCCTGCGTAGCTGACGGACAGACCCCCATCAGCAGCTCACTCGGATTTTGTAGGCCCTGGACCATGACAGGCGTGCACACCTGGCGAGATAAAATCGATCGCTCTCAACACGTAGCGTGATATCGATCGCAGCACGTGCACGTAGATCTCCTCGGTTAGCCTAGCATTTTGATAACCTTGAATGTTATCAAACTGAGCTGATTGCAGAGGCGTGCAAAATCGGTGCGCGTGTACCTCGTTTGGCAAGACTGACAACGAAGCCAAGATCAAAACAGTGCACCGCACTTCATTCGATCCCACGACATTATCGCACCATATAAAATCGGCGTAGTGGTAACATTTTTGCATCGAAATTACCTTCCGCAGTCTAGTAGTGAAGAACTGGGTGACATATCTCAGCTAACACATTCATTTTGGGGAAAATGTATCCAGAGGAAAAGAATAGAGAACACTTAGAGGCAGTGCATAGCTGGGTGATGTATAAACGAGGCAGAGGTGACTCAGTAATATTCGTTCCTACCGCATCCGCCGCCTCAGTAAGGAAAAGATTTTAACTAGGAGAGATCAGAAGTGGAGGCATGAGGGAGCAGTGAGTAGATGCAGAAGCACATACTGACCTCGAAGCCTTACACGCACAGAAATTCAATAACAGCTCACTTTCACTTTTTTCACTGGGTTGCAATATGATGATTTGGTAACACAATTGGTAGTTTCAGCACCTTTCATATCATAGAAATTACAGTAATTAGAAAGGTGCTAATATTCACAAAAGAGTTAGATCGGAACCATTAATGACTCAAACGTATCTGCGTGAGAAATCATTGTTTGGCGGCCCTGACCACTCGGCCACCCCACCGCGTCTGCAGTCACCCTCACAAAATTATAAGCATTGTACAGGCGAACCACAGGCAAATAGGATTTGTGGTGTTAGCTCTCAGGGTCAACCATCTCGAGAAAGAGATCGAACAGATAAAGAGTCTTTTACAATATGATCTAGGCATACCTGACGATACGAATGTATCCACTGGAAGAATAACTAGGAGCTAGGCAAATAACCTCACTTAAACGGCTCTTCAGAAATACCTTCTGTTACAGATATGGCTGTGCAGGAACGAATAGTGAAAATAATCACATTGACAGCGGTCAATGAGGAAGTCAGAAAATCCCAAGAAAAAAGAAATCTGGTGATAAAATCCAACGAAAATGAACAACTGCTACTAAATGATATCTCCACGGCACCTGAACCAGAAACCTCGACAACAGCCACGTCCACAACGGTTACTGTCGAAAGTACCAACACAGTTAGCAACGCCCAGAAAACGTTTGGATTGGATCGGCCCAACACGGGTAGTGGTATTGAGGCAATTATCTAATCTGCAGACCATCATTCACTACCGTCCGTGCCAGGTCCGTCCGTCCAGGTCAGTCACAACAGGCGTGGAGCATCAAAACCGCGATATAAAATGTGTTCCGCTGTCGCCGTCTACTGTCCTTTCTACACACATTCCCTGTTTAATACGTAGGCACTTCCGAATACAGCAGTGTTTTCGCAAACGCGTCAGTTTGGCTTAAAGGGAAAAACGCAGTTAATGTGCGTTGCCGGTGACCTGTAGCACATTTGCATCGGTAAAGCAAACACATTGCCCATTCACTAAGTGTACTACAAGTGAACAACACCTTGAATTGCTCATGGAGGTGAAAATATAGAATCCGCCACACGACTTCTTTGATGTTGACGCATTTTCCAGCCCAATATTGCACGGTTTTACTGAGTTGTATATCCAAATCCCTTTCCCTCTTTTCGTGTTGCAGGCCGAAAACGGCAATGTCGCTGTTGCGGTGACATTCCCCGCTGATTAAGAACTTTGTTCGCGATTTCTGCGTACGTATCCTCAATCAATATTAACGCCTCGCCGTAGATTCCTGTTGTGCAAGCCACATTTGAATTTTTCTTGCGTAGTTGTCGGAAGGTATCTTCAGCCCTGTGCGATTTATATTTCTCCGGTAAATCTGCTGGAGATGAGGAGAGAATGCGGTCAGTGTGACTGCAAACAAAACATGATTTTGATGTGGGTGGGACGTGTTGCAAGCGTCATTAATACATACGTCCCGCTGTTGATCGTTCTCCAGCAACTGAAGAGCCTGACACGCACTGCTGAAAGTGGTACGCATGGCGCCGTTGACAGATTTCAATTGTTGGAAGAACGTTGGACGTGGCACATTCATCAACAACATGCGAAGTAAGATTGGGATGCACGGTATGCAGTCTGCCTATCGCAGTTCCTTTGAGTATGCCGGGGTGTCCGTCCACTCGCTCTCCTCGTTTGCGTTGTTCGAACGATTTTCTACACACATTCCCTGTGTAATGCGTAGGCACTTCCGAATGTGACAGTGTT